GCGGGTAGGGATGGTAATCATCTCTCCCTAATATTAAGCCCACCTCCCCCCTAATATACGTGAAATACTCCCATTATGTGGTATATGAGTATGTTGGGAGTATCTAATATTAGGGGGGGGCAGGGGGGGGGTTCATATTAGGGGAGGGGATTGGTAGAAATGATAGTTACTAGTGCAGTTACTGAGTGGGTAACTATTTACAGTAGTTGGCCTGGAACTCCAGCTCAGAATTCCAGTACATCGTTTTCCATGGGCATCTACTTAAGGGGGACTATACCCTAAACCCTAAACCCTAGATAGTAGTTTCCATTTTCTTTTCCATTATCTAAATATAACCCCTATACAACCCCCAATAATCTCTATAGTTTCCATTTTCTTTTCCATTATCCCTGGAAGAGTTCTCATAGGAGCCTTCTCAACATGCGCGCGCTTGGGGAGTTTAAGGACACGTGGGGGACAAAAAGGGATTATGGGAGGCCCTCTGAGCGATCATACAAGTATGTACAAGTTCTGCTTTGAGCAAAACATTCATGTCCTTGATAATCCTGGGTGCTCACCACAAACCCTAAGCCCTAAACCTGACCAGTCAAGAGTCATAGCACTCCCTTTGGTCTTACCTCACAGCAGAGCATTGGCGAAGACTCAACATGGGGGAGTTTTCACAAGTATGAGTCCATATTTCTGCTGGGCCTAGAAGAAGCAAATAGACTGAAGTTCAGAGAGAGAGAGAGAGATATATATATATATACAGACATAGATCTACACACACACAAATCTACACTTACTCACATATTGTGTAGATTTCTGCACGTACATGCGTATGTAGCACCATATTGCCTTCCCTCGGATGTTGGGTCCTTAGAGCACTAGCTGAGGTTAGGAAGAACTTGGTAAGTCTACCTAAACATCTTACAACCCCTGTACGTCGAATGCTATCTCTAGTGATAGGGATTACACGGAGTTACCGTATTGAGGAAAAGAAATGGAAAACCCATTGAAAACTAAATGGAAATTGTAGGGTCAGTTATTCCCATCAACCTGTTTACTAAGTCCCCTTTGGTGGAGTATCTGGTGAGCCTTAGGCACGTGCCGATTCGCCCAGCGCGTGGCGAACGTCAGGGGCCTGGAGTCCATTTTTCGCATGGAGGTTTGAGGGTTTTCTCTGGTGTAGATTTTAGGGGTTTAGGGGTTTAGGGGTTTGGTGTCTATGGGCGTAGGGGTATAGGGGCTTGAAGGTTTCGGGTCTACTGTAGTTCGGGGCGTGCCGTTGGTTGTCAGCTTGAGTTTTGTTCATCGTTGCAGAGCTTTGCACTGTAGGTGGTTCCCAACGAAAGGCCATAATTCCTGCATATTCCGTATGTGAGTGTCTCAAAGAGGTGCAGCGTTTTCATTAAGAATAATCTTAAGTGTGCCATCATGTTGAGACATCCCCAAGTCCCAATGATGTGTCCACCAAATTCGTACCTTGACGGATTCTGGATGGCAGGAGTTTACAACCTTTGAACTTGGTAAATGCGTCGGAGTCCGAGGCCGCAAAACTACGAAGCCGTATGCACCGAGAAGATCCCTAGCCCAGAAGCCCCAAATCAGGGGGCTCAAAAGGTGGGATGAAGGTAGGTGGGCTAAAGGATCCTTAGTATATCCTCTACTATATTGGACCATATTTCCTATACCCCACCTTCATTCATCCCACCTTTTGAGCCCCCTAACCAAAGCCCAAGCTCAGCCTGGGCGGGGGACTAAGTAACTCATCTTCAAATGCGGCAGGTTTATGGGATTAAGGAACTCATGAGCTATATGAGCCACAGTCTAAATTCCTAGTATCCCCCTTAATGACCCCCTATAGTAGTAGGGGTAATAAGGATTATACTCTATAGGGATTATATAGGATTTGTATTCCATTCTTCCCTTCTAACTAACCACAAGGCAGATAACCAAGCACCCGAGAGGGCTGATCTCAGAGGGCTTTGAAGGAGGGTTTGGCGTTTCCAGGGGTTTAAGGTTTAGGGGTTTAGGGTTTAGGGCCAGAATCTGGAAAAATATGGCATATGAAGTACAGCCTGAACTCCTTCAAGTGGGGTTATATAGGGTTTGAGGTCGAGGGGTCTAAACTCTTCAAAGGGGGTTCTATAGGGGAATATTTAGGGGAGAACTAATGGCACCTATTAAGTGGGATACTAGGCGTTTAGATTTTTGCTCATATGGCACCTTGAGCACGCTAATCCCCTCCCCAATATTACCAATTCTGCGCCTATGTCCATTATTTTCTATTTGGACGTCTATAAGGACTATTGCATACCAAGGGGTGTGGGAAGTGTTGAATGTGGGTGGGAAATGTTGAAGTCGGAGAACGGCATCAGTTTAACTTAACAGCCCCAGGTAATCCACGCCCAAAATACTCACCCCCCCTCCACCCCGCTAATATTAATTACTCCCCATTGTGGTATATTGTCGTATACGGGCAGTATTTGATATTAAGGGGGGAAGGGGGGTTTTAATATTAATATTTAGGGGAGGGGAGTAGGATGTATAGAGGCAGGGGTTCCCCCAAGAAAGTCTTTTGTTCTGGGGTATGAAGTGTATGGGGTCTTCTAAAATAGGGGTGCCGTTTTGGCGGTTCCTATGCCAAGCAATATTTTTTGGGGGAGTCTGTACTGGGGTCCCCCTACTTCTGGAAATCACCATGTAAGTATCAGGTGGCGAAGTATGTCCTCCATGCACAGTAATGCAAGAATTCCTGCCTCTACTGTCCCAGAGTCCACCCAAAAATGCGCGGAAGGGGGCTCCAATGTCCTTATCAGGTTGGTGAAGCTTACGGCATTAAGAGGTTTGCGGGTTGGTGAGTTTAGAGCTTAGGATCTAGAGAGTTTTTTCAGATTTCGGCGAAAAGCCTTCCAACGAATGCTTTAAGTCTATGGGGTTGGTTTGCAGCTGCATGTCTACAGTAAGTCTGAACGCAACTGCATCCAAGGCTTTGTGAATTCGACACGGGCTTTCTAAACACGTTAAAGATTCGCTTCGCTACCCTCATGCTACAGCCCTACGCCCTTAACCCTAGACCATATGCACTGTAGTCTAAACTCCTTGAAGGGATTATATAGGGTATTAAGGGGGATGCTAGGAGTTTAGACTATAGCTCATATTGGCAAATTTAGTTAGACACTCGGGCCCTTAGCAGAACGTTGGCACAAGGATCTCTAGGCCCTTCATCTTCTCCATGCACCTCCCAGAGTCCACCCAAAAATGCGCGGAAGGGGGCTCCAATGTCCTTATCAGGTTGGTGAAGCTTACGGCATTAAGAGGTTTGCGGGTTGGTGAGTTTAGAGCTTAGGATCTAGAGAGTTTTTTCAGATTTCGGCGAAAAGCCTTCCAACGAATGCTTTAAGTTTATGGGGTTGGTTTGCAGCTGCATGTCTACAGTAAGTCTGAACGCCACTGCAGCCAAGGCTTTGTAAATTTGACATGGGCTTTCTAAACACGTTAAAGATTCGCTGCGCTAAACTCAAGCTACAGCCTTACACCCTTAACCCTAAACCATATGTACTGTAGTCTAAACTCCTTAAAGGGGGTTATATGGGGGATTATATAGGGGATACTGTAGGGGTTATTAGGGGGGATACTAGGAGTTTACACTATAGCTCATATTGGCATCCCCTTAACCCTAAACCACATTGGCATCTACTTAGTTAGACGCTCGGTTGGCACAAGGATCTCTAGGCCCTTCATCTTCCCCATGCACCTCTCACATCCTTAATGGCCGCCTAGTTATTCAACTCCTCTTATGTTGGAGTCTTGAGACCCAGCCAAAAGCCCTTGAAGTCTTTGTAAGCCCATATACTAAGCGCCTTAAATCTTTCTGACAATCCATAACCTTATTCTTACAGTCCAGTAGGAAATGCTGTGGCTGCCTCTTAGCCATGCGCGCGCAACGGCTAAAGATTGCCATTTGCTTTGGGGCCAGCTTCCCCTACGCAGCCCCACACTTCGAGGGCGAACTGCGCGAGCCTGGGTTCTTCAAGGTTTTAGGAGCTTATAGGGTTTAGTTGTTTAGGTTCAGGTGGTTGAGTTCAGGTTAGGGCTTGGGATTGAGAGTTTAGGGTTTGGGCTGTTCGGGGGTAGGCTTTTCAGATCTCGGTGTACAGGGTTCCCGTTCTAACTTCAAGTAAGCAAAGCAGGAGGACTGTTCTCTCAGCCTACACCCTAAACCCCAAGCCCTGAACCCTACTTGGAGGTCCACTGTACTTATAACCTACTTAGTAACTGGAGTTATGACCCAAATATAAGTCCCATAATTACAGTTACCCTAGATATAATTGGGTCCTAACTACAGTTACTAAGTAGGTTAGAAGTACAATGGACCTCCAAGTAGCCCAGGAGTGACCTGGGCTAAGAACTCGGCGGCAGACGTTAGTTGGGCACAGAACCTGCATCTGGAGCATACTTGGGAGGTTTTCCATGTCAGTGGAGCAATATGGGAGATTCTCAAAATGACTCCCCCACATGATTTTTTTCATTTTCAGAAATTCCCATGTGAAAGTTTCTCAGAGTACGGGTTCCTTGGGACCTCAGGGATACAGAAATAACCAGGGGATTAACATTGAAGCTCCTGAAACTCCTGGGGATGATTCAGAGAAACTCGTCCCTCTACGACACAAATCCCTCAACCCTAAACCCTAAAAAATATGTTTCCTTTGGACTTGAATCTTCTCTCGTATTCTACTATATCCCTAAGGAGTTCTTCAGCATAACGTGTAACATGGAGGTCTAAGGGGATTGCGCGGTTGCGGAAGCCCATGTAGTATAAACCCCTTTCAACGGACGGTCGTCTTTGTAGGGCCCTCTCTGGAGTTGCTATGTTCCAGTGCAGGTATTTTTGAAGTTTAGCTTCCTTCACAGTCATATCCAAGTCTCATGTGCACCTAGGGACTTAGATCACGGTTAACAGAAACCCCCACCTGGCGGTTTAGGATTCAGGTTGTAAGGGGGGGGGTCACAGGTACATGCTGCTGCAGATGAAGTCTACACCAGGACAGAAGCTGGCATTGTCTGCAGGTACTGGCCACACAGCTGCAGTCCGCGCTGATGGAAAGCTGGTTTGCTGTGGGCGCCGCGCACAGTGTGCGATGCCTGCAGACTTGGGTAACTCTGCAGACGGGGGGCCAAACATTTTGTTTTACTTTTGGCTCAGATGACGAAATCACGACACCAATGTTCGACTAAATCTTGAAAGGATTTCAAGCCGAAACCCAGGTAAGGTATTGGAAGTGTCGGCCGGCAATTCTCACACGTGTGCGGTGCGTGCTGATGGCCGCCTAGTGTGCTGGGGGAGTAATCAGACGGGACAGTGCGAGGTGGTGAGTTGTCAAAACACTTCAGACCATCCAAATTACTAGTTCTAAGTCGGGAATAAGGGAATATATTATATGGGGACTATATAGGGATTGTATTCTCTCATTCCCTACTAACCACCAGGAAGTCAAGGCATTCCGGGTTGCGCTGAAGGGTATGAGAAGACCTCAGTAGCCCTTGAGACAGCCTTCATACCCATATCCCCGAAGTTAAGTATTTAGGAGGTTAAGAGAGTACCTCTCACAACACTTTTGAGAAACTCCTCTATCTAGTAGATCCCAGGAAGACCTTGCGGCACCCAAGGGGTGGGATGGTCCTATTTGGATTCCTCTTTGGGAATCCCTATATAACCCTATGGAACTATCCCTATATTACCCCTATATATACCCTATAATCCCTATCTAATCCTTTTTAATGATCGCTATATTACCCCTATATATACCCTGCCCTAGGAATCCAACCTTGCAGAGCCCTAAACCCCGAACCCAGCACTCAGGTCCCATCAGACGTAGGACCGGTGTGGACTCTGTCAGCCGGTTATCACCACACTTGTGCTGTGCAAACAGATGGCCAGCTTGTCTGCTTCGGTCGCAACCTGGAAGGTGGGATCAGGGTTTAGGGTTTAGGGTCCAGGGCTTCACGGTAATAGTTTCGAGCTCCAGGGTCTGGAGTTGAAACTTGAGGGTTTTTGGTTTGGATGGTGATCCCCTGAGATAGAAAGTCGGGCAAACACATCCTCAACAGGGCCTTCAACAGTAAAACATGTCTCAGGGACTCATAGCTTTTCTTAGCATATAGGAGTTCTCATCCCGACAAGGTTTTCTTGGAACATATTCTCTACACCCTAAACGCCAAACCCTAAACCCCAAACCCTGAACCCAAAACACTAATCCCCACACCCCAAACCCCAAGCCCCGAAACCCAAACCCTAAACTCCAAACCTGAAACTTGAAACCGTTAGCCCCAAGCCCTGGACCCTAAACCGTATATAACCCATTATAGTAGTTTCCATGTTCTTTGCCATGATCCCTATTTAAATCCCCAACATATACCCTATAATCCCTATAATCCCTATAGTTTCCATGTTCTTCTCCATCATACCAATATATTCCCCAATATATACCCTAAACCCTAAACCCTATAATCCCTTTAACCCAGGTCAATGCGATGTACCAGCAGACCTGGGGCCCGTTTTGTCAGTGTCTGCGGGCAGCGCCCACACCTGCGCAGTGAAAGCCGACGGCTGCTTTCCAAGGTTTGAACTTAGGGATGTTTAGTGTTTGGGGTTTAGGGTGTAGGATTTGGGGTTTAGGGTTTAGGGTTCAGGGATTTAGGTTTAGGGTTTAGGGTTTCGAGTTGAGGGTTGAGTCTTATGGCGGAGGGTTGAGGATTCCTGGCTTCCGGCTTGAAATATGGGCCCTGTTTGAATTTCGGGCCTAGGCCTCTCAGAATTTGTGGAGGTCCCAAGAATAAGGGTTATCATATGTTGGGGTCTATACTGGGGTCCCCCTATTTTGAGAAATTACCATTTAGCTGAATTTATGGTAATCAAAAATAGGGGCTCTCAGCTTTCAAGGAGGGTTCTATGGGCCTTTACGCGTCTGTGTAGTGCATGTATTAGGTATATAGGGACCCCTGGATTCAGGGCACAAGGGGTCCATGGTGGTAACCCTAGTTTCTTTGCAGCTGTTGAAGCCTATGGGCTATGTAACCCTAAACCCCTACACCCTAAACCCTAGGATCTTATGAAGGTCCCCTCTAGAGGATTATGTAGAGAGTATTCTGCGAAATCCCGACTTGTTACCGACCACAAAATTAGCATGTAGCGCGGTGTAGGCCCTGTTACAAGGACTGTGGTCCTTTTAGGGTTTAGGGTTTCAGGTAGCATTTCCCATTTTGAAGAATATTGACTCAAACATTTTAGCAAGCATTGTGTATGATAGATCTGTAGAAGCCTGAACATTTTTTCAATATTTGACCTTATGTAAGTCTATAGTATTTTAGTGTATATACATATGTATATATACGGACATATATGTGCACATACACCCCTGTTCCGACAAACTCTAAACCCTAAACCTTAACTGTCCTAAACCCGAAGCCCTAAATCCCAAGCCTTAGAATCCTAGAACCAAATAACCCTCAATCCTAAACCCTAGGGCCCCTTGAAAGGGACAGCAAGAAGACTTCAGGTTTTTTGCGCTGCTTCGGGCATGGCGATGGTTCTCACAAAGTCCCTGAGAACCTGGGGCCTGTTCTGAGCGTGTCTGCTGGTGGCTTTCACACATGTGCTACTTGGATAGGATTTAGGGTTGAGGGTTTGGGGCATTGGGTTTATATGTTTTGGTGAGCTCGCCCGACGATTTTGGCATGGTGGTTCAATGTGGTTCATATTCAACTCAATCTCAAAATTTCCTCTCTCCAGGCGCTGGAACCATTGAAATTTGGCTAGTGCAGATCAATGTCATATCGCTGTTAAGAAGCCATTGAAGTCAGCCATAAGAATCCAAGTGCTGGACAGTCATTTACCTGCCCAACACGGTTACCACAAGTACTACTACCCAAATACTTGGGCCCTTTGGGTTAGATCAAAAGCAGAGCCCCAAACTGAGCAGCTTCCTTTGAAAGCAAATCCTAAACCCTACACACCCTAAACCTTGTATCTTCTTGGGGTATATGAAGCGCAGAAGTTGACGGGCGATCCATAACCCCATAGGGTCCAAATACACAAATGGTGGGACCTTCAAGACAGGAGTTCACATGGGGCTAGTTGCGTAGGAGGTACAAACGGTTTCGGGTCGAAGTATCCAAATATCTGGGCCCGAGGTCCCAAACACTACAATCTGAATGATGTTTTGGCACCTACAAATTGAACATTTGGATGTTTGGGTACTTAGCCCTGATAAAGGGTTTCCTGCTCTGCGAGCAGCTAGGTCATTCGGGCAGATGGCACGCTAGTGTGCTTTGGAGCCAATGACGACGGTCAGTGCGACACGCCCAACGGCATGACTTCAACAGCGGCAGTTGCTTCATCGTGGTTACCCAAAGGATCCTAAGTACCTGTATGGTCCAAACTAGGGTTTCTGTACTACCTAACCACCCTAACCCCTAAACCCCTAAATTGTTAGTATCCCTTATATGAGCCATAGTCTAAACTCCTAGTATCCCCCTTAATAACCCCTCTCGTAGTCCCCTATATGATCCCCTATATAATCCCCTATATAGCCCCCTTTAAGGAGTTTAGACTATCCCTTATATAGGTACTTGGGATCCTTTAGGTTAGTAGAGACAATTGGAAAGATCCCTGCATTAGCTTACTACAATCTGTAAAACAACACGAGCTCCTTAGAGGGGGTTTTATATAGGGGATTGTATGAGAGAGTACTACAGGGATTATTAAGGGGATACTAGGAGCTTAGACTATGGCTTATATTGGTTTCCGTCTTCTGTTCCATTCAGTAAGCCCTAGGTAATATTGATGCCTTCCATTTTTCTTGCCATCCCTTCGTTTCCCATTACATATTTATCCACCCGTCAGGTTTCTGCCGGCATTTTCCACACCTGCGCGGTGAAGACGCTGGGTGTCACTGTCTTGGTACCCTGTGCGGTGGTTTATGTCATATAGTTCCTCGTAAGCATAGAACATGGAATTCCCCATGCCCCATATTCTATCTACTTATGGGGGAGTATATGTTGTTGCCGGAGGCGCGCTCCAATATGAACTGTAGTCAACATTCCTGCAGTAGACTTTGGTCATTTGCCCTTACAGGAATTGTCCTTACAGTGTTGTTCTTAAGCGGTTCTTAGGACTCCTAGTGCCCATTGTGGTAACTAAGTGTTACTGTTAGGGGAAGTTTCCCAAAGTAGACCCCCAAGTTTACTTGAGTTGCCTTTGTTTCCTTTCGCTTCGCACACCTAAGCCCTAAACCCTGAAACCCTAAACCCTGAATCCTAAATCCTAAACCCAAAACCCATTTTGCAAATCAGACTTCTGAAAAGGACCCCCCCAGAGTTGAGACCTTTGCTCTTGTGCGAAAACTGAAGGAATAATCTCGCAGTTTAGGGGTTAGGGTTTAGTTTCTAGGGATGTGTGGATGCATAAGGAACCCTCGACTAGCCCTGAAATGTATGCCTGAAACCAGCACCAGAAGTCTGAATCGAAAGACCTCCTAGCCCACAATCCCTGAAAGCAAGCTCTTGACCCCTCCCTGTGGGTCGTTTCTTCATTCCGCGTGCTCTATACTTTAACTCAAAACCCTGAACCCCTAAGCTTCAGGCCCTGGATCCAAATCTCGAAGCTCCACACTCCCTAAACCTCAAACTCTACACCCTAAACTTGCTGGAGGTAATATATTGGGGATATATAGGGATAATGAAAAAGAACATGCATGCAACTACATTATTATAGGGTATATATTGGAGTTATAGTAGGGAAAAGGTAATCTATGATGTAGGGAGTATACAGGGATTATATTCCCCTATTCCGTATTAACCACCAGTGAACCCCAAACCTTAGACCCAGCAAGTAAACAGCAAAATCTCTGCCAAGGACTGATGGTCGGCTCGTTTGCTTCGGGCGCAACAGGGAAGGTTTGGGCGTTTGGGCATTTGGGTGACGAGTTGATCTGAAGATTATATAGGGCTAAATAGGGGTCATGTAGGGTTATATAGGGATTGTAGAGAAGAACAGAAAAATGACGAATTAGGGTTTATACTGTTGAGCAACTGCTATTTAGGTCTAAAGGCTATGGAAAAGCAAATGGCTAATTTAACGAAAACTCTGGTTATGTAGTGGGTTTCAGGATTTAGGGTTTGCTCGAAGGTTCGGGAGATGGATTATTAAACAAAAAGTGTTCAAGCAGCCGAACTCCAACTCCTATAGCCGCCTTTTTAACCTCTGAGTTCCCTCAGCCTTCCAGCATGGCCCACAGGAAGTAGGATTGTTGATAATATTTTGCTGAGAGTATATAGTTTCCCTTCGGAATATTGAATATTATGGCTGAGTGTATAGATTCATACTGGCCGTCCATTTGGGGCGCATGTGGGTGTCGAATTGATGGTCTCTTTCAGGTACCCTAAGTGCTGGAGGCGGTATCATACCCCAAACTAAAACTAAAACCTAAGCCCTAAACCAGACAGGGACCACAATCAATCCTAATCCCTAAACCCCTCAACACCCCCAAACCCTAAACCTGAATGTCCCTTCCCAGAACCCATAAACCCTAAACCCGAATCCCTAAACCCTGAACCGTAATCCCTAAACCCTAAACCCTTCAACCCTGAACCCGAAGGCATGTATCCCTGCAAGGTCAGTGCGATGTACCGCCAGACCTTGGACCTGTTCCTGGAGTCTTCTGTTTAGGGTTCAGGGTTTAGGGACTAAGCTTTAGGGTTTAGGGCTTAAGGTTTAGGGATTTGGGTTTAGGGTTTAGGACTTAAGGTTTAGGGATTTGGGTTTAGGGTTTAGGGCTTAAGTTTTTGGGGGTCAAGGTTTAGGGATTAGGGTTTAGGGGACTTCAGGGTTCATTGGGGCGCGCTGAAAGTGGGACCTTTAGCGACCCTAGGGTTATATGGGGATTATAAGGGTAAGTATCGGGCTCGGAAGTATGATTTAGAGTAGTTGAGGAAAGCCAATATACAAGAGTTCAACTGCCGAATGGTTGGCTATAGCGTGTAGGGTGGAGTATTTTCCCCAAAGCCCCAAGCCCAAAGCCCAGTACACTCAGTAAACCCTAAACCGTCAAGGCGTCAATTTTTTCATACCTTGGTTTATTACCGGGACTTGTGTAAGTCGTTGAAAGTTTTTTTGCGAGAGTTCATTAAGGCAACGAAGCCACGACCAGCACAATTTGTTCGTAACACAGCAATGGCGAGGGGAACCTACGTCGTTTCCGCTTGCGTCCACGGATAGACTTTTCTTGAATCGTTGTAATTTTTGTCATTCATCGGGGGTTGTTTTTCAGCGGAGTCAATTGCCAAGTTTGGAAGAGAATAATGCCCGAGTCATACCACGAGCCCCCTCTTTCTTTCCAATACTTTAATCCTCTAAAACCTAGGTGCTGGCGGTATCCGCCGGATTCTTCCACACGTGCGCTCTTCTCACGGACGGTTCAACAGTCTGCTTTGGTGATAACGATGCAGGCCAATGCAATCTGCCTGACTAGTTTTAGAAGCCTTTAGAATTGGGAATGATGTTCTGATTCCACATACAGATTTTGCGTTTAGAGGCACGGCCCTTGACATGTTTTGCAGTATTCGTTTTGCGATTATCGCCTGCTTATCCAAAACAACCAGCCTAATTCTTCAGGACCCTAGGGTAAATGGAAGCTTCCGGCACATTTTGGGCCCGGTTTTGCTGCCCCTGATCTCCATATTTTGGGTAAGCCTATTGGGCCCCCTGCGTTGGCGAAAAATGCCGGAAGCTTTCCCGAGGGCTGCCACACTCTGCCTTAGGCACAGCACGGGCGAGACCTTTCTGAAAAAACTGGGTTGCAGTTAAGGAACTTAATTTAAGTTACTATATTGGGGAAACCCTATTATTTACTATATATACCCATTATGGTAATTTAATTTAAGTTCCTTAACAGCAGCCCCGAAAACACACACAGCAGCTGAGACTTCTGGTTTATCAGGGCTGGGGGTTGCCCTCCGCCTCCCCCAAACCAGTTGGGAAGCAAATTCCGCCGCCCTTTTACAAGGACCGGAAGTCTTTGTAGGCGGTGGGAGTTTGGACCTTTAACTCCTATAAGGCATGTAGCAACGTAGAAATCCTCGTCATTCTTATTCTTCACTTGCCGGTTGCATCCCCCCCAACCCTCCAAGTATCCCAAAGTTAGAGGTACCTTTAAAGGGCTTATAGGGGCATACAGGGACTTTGGGATACTGGAAACGACTATTATGTTTAGAGTTTAGGGCTCGAGCGACTTCATGTCAGCATAATTTTGGCTTCATTAGCCCGCGTCTTCAGTAATCTCGATACTGGCTGTTGTTGATTGTTTGGATGATTATGCCCGTTATATCCCGTTATTGTTGTTATTGCTGCTATTGCTGTAACTATCATGACACAATGTTTGTCATTGTCTTACTATTATTACTACCTTTGTATTATTTGTATTCTCATTATTTACATATCTGATGCCCTTTTCCCCGAAACAGCGTACACTGTATGCCCAGGGTCCAAGGACTCAAACAGGATGCAGTCTGGGCCCAGGTGTACTTCAGGTTCAACGTGCATAAATGCGGTAGTTGTAAGCTTTACCCCCTCAGGGGTAGAACTGAACTGAATTATGCCTGGTGAACATTCGTTGCGAAGGAAATTTCCTGTTCCTGACTGTGTTTCCGCCATCGCCCTGAAACAAAAATCTTGTAGACTTCTGCTTGTGCTTTCAGTCTTTGAACGTGCATATTTCTTGGGAGGGACGTAGGATGCACGAAGGACGCCTGCTCAATATTAGTGTTGTGGAAGTTCCGGATCATCTTTCTTTAGTAAAATCCCGAGAACCGCCGGAGAGAATAAATTCTTCCAGGAGGCCCCCAGTCCTAATAAGGGACCCTTTCACAATCAGAAGAAAAGCAACCTTGAGTTCAATCCTCTGCGTTGCTGTTAAGGAACTTAAATTAAATTACCATAATGGGTATATATAGTAAATAATAGGGTTTCCCCAATATAGTAACTTAAATTAAGTTCCTTAACTGCAACCCAGTCCTTCGCTTGCTCGCTGTAGCCTGCTGAGTTGCTGATGCCTTCAAACTTTGGACAGTCGCAAAGTTCATCCCCGGCCCTCCTGACCCCGAATCCCAACCTTTGGTTAGCTGGGAATAATATATGGTTATATAGGGAACATGGAAAATGAAATAGAAACTACCATGTAGGGTTTAGGGTTTAGAGCTTACGTTTGGTTAGTCGGGAAGGAAGGAATGAGAAAGAACATGGAAACTATTATAATGGGTTATAAGGGACTACTATAAGGATCCATTCCTTCATTCTTAGCTAACCCGGGGTAAGGAATCTTAACCCAGCATGCTAACCTCGGGGTAAGGTGCAGACCTTCTCGCGCGTCAATGAGGTGGGGACGAGCCCTGTGGAAAACAATGACTTCAATTAAGCCAAGCCTGATCTAGGGTGTCACAAAGTCATCCCAACCCTGCGATGCGACAGTTTCTCCAAATTATCCCACTGGACTCTGGGTATGCAATAAATACCAGTGTTTCTTTATTGTAGTAACTTATTGTAGTCCTGAACTATAACTACCACAGAAGTCCGTAGTTTTCAAACTTAAGGTTTGGGGCTTACAGCTTAGGGCCCGAACAGAAAGGCTACCCCGAAGGCCCTCACATTACAGAGACCTGAGGATGCCTTAGCTGGGTCCCAACAATGAGGAGGAGGAGCAGAAGCAGTAGCATTTGGTAGCTTACAGGCGTTTCATGGGGGTACCATAAGAGGGATAAACTCTGGATATCCCTCACGGCACACCTCTGTTTGAAGCAATTTTGACCTGTGAGTCTATGACAAGTAGTGGAAGGCCTGATCAGCACACTTCTTTTCAGATTCCCTACCATGCTCCCTATTAGGATCGTAAACCCCCAACCCTGGTCCTTAATCCTGGCACCCCAAATCCCACCAGTCCGTAAACCACAAAGGGCTTGTTCTTGTTCTTGCTCAGGTGAAACCGAACCATGGCCTCTAACTTCTACAAGGGTATAGGTTAGGAAGACCCCCCACCCTGTAATAGTGGTATAATAGGAATATAAGAGGACCCTGATATAATCCCTATTATCCCTTATAACCCTAATATAATCCCTATTACCCCTTTTAACCTTAATATAATCCCTATTATCCCTTATAGTCACTATTACTGGGTGGGGGGTCCACTAAACCCTAAACCCTAAACCCCCTAAGGCATAGGCCACCCTGAAGCTAAAGGTTAGGGTTGCGGGTGTGTAAGTTCACGTATGGCCTTTCTGGTTTAAAGTTCGGGGTTGCCCATAGATACCAAGTTAGGTCTTTCGGCACCCTGCAACAGAACATGCGCTTACAGACACCCGAGGGGAAGTACGGTGGATACCAAAAATCCTGCATGAGTACCTGATACCTTGGGAATCGGGGTCTTACAGTATATCAAGGTCATGCAGGATTTGTGGTATCAACAGTAGGACCGTATAATTGTCATATGCCGCTTATCCGGTCCTTCCTTTCGGCGCTGAAGTTACCAAAATCCTCTTCGAGACTCTGTCAGGAGAGGGACCCGCAGCTTGTTATCGCCGCTTTACGACAGGACTGCGAGCCCAAAGCCTTTAGAGCTGGGTATTATAAGGCTCTCCTGCAACTCAGTCAGAAGGCTATCAACAGGGAGTTATACGCAGACTATCGCGAATTAGAGGGGGCGTGTGAACCCATGTATAGCCTACTAACTTAGTTCCCTGGGTTTTCAAGCAGGAGAGAAGCCCAAGTTTTCATTCATCAGTTAGCATCTTCTGGTGTCTCACTACTGCTACCATAGACACCACCGGAGTTTTGTAGTACAAGCCCAGGCTTGAAGATTTTGTGGTCGAGAAAATCAGGTTGAGGGTCTGTACCGTCCAGCATCCTTTGGGAATTGTAAGGTCTTGCCCCCAAACCCGGCTCGAATGCCAGGGCTTTGGGGGTAACAGTCGAGGGAATTGGGACCCAGTGCCCCGAAATGAGTAGCATTTTCCTGGCTTGCTGTTAAGGAACTTAAATTAAGTTACCATAATGGGTATATATA